TTATTCATAGCAAACGTTCGCATTGCTCGCCACATCCCTCTCCATCTATGTCTGTCTCTGTCGCTCACAGGTGATGATGGCACTAGAGGTGGCATGTACCGAAAAATAAATACAGTAAGCTTCAGCGAATCAACCAAAAGCCGCAAAACAATGCGACGCTTGTTGGCATTGTTGCTGTTTCCCCCATTGCAAAGCTACGTGTGTGTGTGTGCTTAGCGTTGCGTAAAATAAATCATTTCATTGCGGCACATACACACACACACGTGTCTGCACACACTCAGCCACTCACACATACTTGCTGAGATTGGTTCAGTTGTTACACGCAGCCAAACAAATTGCCAACTGACTAAACACCAAAGAGAGTAAAGCCAACCAAAAATAATAATAACAACAACAACAACGACAACAAAAAGTGTTTTAAATGAATAAAAATGAGTTGCATAAGGAATATTAAGCACTCGCCATGCCAAATGAACAAATGAGTGCGAAAGCTTGAATTTAGGCGCAATTAGAACGAAGCTATGAATGAGATAAGCTCGAGGCTTAGTTTCACTCAAATGAGCCCCAAATGAATTGAGTCTTTCGTACGACGTAAGCTGTTTAGCATAAACGTGGAATGGAATTTGTATTTCCAGGCCAATTGACAGCGGATTTGTAAAGAGCAATTGCGCGAGGGGAGCTACGCAACCTGGTTCTATCATTAACTTCACTTGCAACAAGAATTCAAATTATGAATACTATAGATGTATTTGTTGCTTTACTAGGAAGGAAATTCGATAAATATTTAAAGCACTTTTACAATTTTCACAATTCATTTAAATTGCTTAACAGAATGTGGCGCTATCTCTTTCTTTGGCAGTAATTCAATTTTGTTAAAATTAAATTAATTGCGCATAATTAAAAGTTACTGCAATTAACAAAGCTTCATTAGCTTAATTAGGCTTTAATAATTAAACCATTTTACAACAAAAAATGTTTAACAATAAAATTCAATTTTATTTAAATTAGCTGAGGTAAGTGAAAGTTGATGTCTGGGCATATTGACTTTTATAGAATTTACATACATGTATGTAACAGTCTGCAGTAGTATAGCTGCAGCCGAGTAAAATGTAAAATGAGCTTTGAGAGTATTTCTATGCCTGTAATCCCTTTTGCGATGTCTGCAAATCATTCTCTCTCACTCACACTTTAAGAAAAAACTGAGAGAGCAGCCGATTGCATCGGTTCTTTAACGAATTCGCTCACGATCGACTAGAACGCTCGGCTGAGTTAAATCAGGCAAAAACTCTTTTCTGTGTGTGTGCGTGTGTTGGTATTTATGCGTGTGTGTGTTCGCTTCAGCTGCGTACGTAGACTGCGTGTGTGCAATTGAGTGCGAATGTGAAAGCAATTTGCATTAAGCTTTTGAGCTATTTGCTGACTGTGAATGTCAATCGTGTATCCCTGTCTCTCTCTCTGTCGCGACAAACGCTGTTCATTAACAGAGCGTCACACGAGTAGCTCAACTCAAGGCGCTCAATAGAAAAGTGAAACGAAAATAGCCGAAGTCTACTACTCAAAGCGAGAGCACATGAGCGCAAAGACTCAAGCGTTTAACATTTATATGCTCTTAATATTTCAATGAAATTGCTGTTCTTATACTTTTGCTCAACTTTACTCAAATTTGTTTTACATACATATAGATTCTGTTTAAAATATAGTAGTTGAGGTCATAGCTTAGAGTACTCTCAATTCGACATAACCTACTTGAATATTTTAAACATAATTATAAAAGTACATATGTATAATTTAATTTCTTGATTGTAAAGTTAATTGTCATATTCAATATAAGTTTCATTAAAAATGTTTAATTATAAAATTGGTTAAATAGTTTTAAGCAAATTAATGCAAACATTTCAATTATTAATTATATTAAAATATCAGCTAAACTAATACATTTCGACCACATTCTAGCCATATTTAAATGCAACACCAAAATATGTTTTCCCCCCCACCCGTAGCGAACGAGGGTAAACCAATTTCAGGTATTAAATGGCCAAAAACCCAAGCTAAACCAGCAATTTATGGCTTATGCAAAAACTGAAATCAATGCTGCTCGCTTAGTTTATAAATGATTTCAATATGCATAAATTGGGTCGCCGCCGCAGCCCAAAAAGTGTGCAACGAAAATTTTTGAAGTCTGCGCAGCAAACAAAGACTGAAAGCAAATTTATACAAAATGCAAGCAATATTCGACAATGTTTTGCCAGAAGCAACAATTCGCTCTCCGAAATGAAATATGGCAAATGTTTAGAGTGTGCAGCTATATAAATTTCCTATATATACATATATATACATTCAATAGATACTCGCATTAAGTGAGCTTGTGTGCGCAACAACAGCTTGATCAAACAAGCTCATGATTTATAATTGTTGCTGAGAGCCAAAGTCTAATGAACGAACGAATGCTTATATTGGCCAACAAACAGTCTGAATGGGTTAACAAAATGAGATTTATGCTGTGGCATTCAGGCCATTTTCTAATTAACTTTTACGCATATTTTGCATCGCCAGAATGGATCTCTGTTTGGGCCAAGAGCTAAGCCCATCCATGGACCATGTGTTTACCTAGCATTGTGCGTAATTCAATTTCAACTCGACGGAGCCAACTGGCCGGAAACACTAAAAAGCTCGCGTTGAGCGAGCGTCCGTCCAACTTTGCGCTGCCCTGCACAAATATAATTAAAATGCTCAAACGGCAAATGACTCGAATGCCAGCGTAATGGCAATAGGGGCAACTACAACAACAACAACAGCAAACTGAACGGACAAACAAGCAAACTTGTCATTTAATTTGCCAGCCAGAACTCAAAGCGAACGAAGCTATAGAAAAAGCTGATGCTGCTGCTCCTCCTGCTACAACTCCTGCTGCTGCTGCTGCTGCTACTGCTGCTGTTGGCCAAGCCAACTGAAATAAGCCAATCAAACTATGGTCAAGTCTTTGATTCGCATCGCTATTTAAATTCTGCGCAAATTTAAGCGCCAAATGAAAAAAAGCGAATCTATAGAAATTTCGCCCTGAATGGGATGAGCTCTGAATACCCTATAGCGGAGCCCAAAGATGCAAAATCATCCAGGTGAAGTGAATTTTAGTTGCTCATACTTAACATAGCAAAGATAACTAAAGTGTAATAAAATGCTAAGATGCTGCCTGAAGAGCCCTTCACACAGCTCCTTCAGAAGTTATCCTGTTCAGAGTGGCGAAATGGCTTTGATAACCGATTCAAGCGTGGGCAGGACTGAAGTAGCGGCCAAGTGGAATATTTTGCAGCACAGTGAAGAGATTTTCACTAATACTTTACTTTGTTTTCTATAATGGGGAGCAGTAACTAAAAACCAAGCCTAGCAATTTTGTTGCCAACTCTATCTATTATTGCTATTGGCAACATCTTCATTACATTACATTACATTCACTAAAAAGAGTTTATATGATACTATAAATAGATTTAAATAAGCGACTTTTGAGAGTATCATAAAATATAAGCCCTACAAAACAAGAATTTTGCTATTTTTAAAAAATGTTAAAGCCTCATCGACAAGTTCTTAAGGTTATTTAAAGAGAGCATATTACTAAAATGTTAAAGCTATTTAAATAAATCGTTTTTCGTGATCCAATCTTCAGCTTGAGCATTAAAAGCATTTTAATGCCTCTATAGAGCTTTCTGTCTTGAGCTGAAACTTTCAAAGCTCTCGCAAGTCTTCGACAAGCTTCATGAGTAGATGAGCCTCTACGCTGACTTGAGCTTTAGAGCTTTCTGAAGTCTCTAAAGTCTTTTACATAGCTATTAGCTAAAATGTTTAAAGCTTGATCTTAACACTTTAACTAAATCAAAGATTTCAGCAGAAAAAAAGTATTCCTAATAGCTGGAATACCCTCAATCGTGGTAGCTCTGCGTACAGGGTATTCGAATGAAAAGTGTTGCATTTCACACAGCTCCCAGGGACGCATTGGGTGGTGCAGATGTCGACTATTGCTGCTGCTGCTGCTGGTGTTGTTGTTGGCGTTGTTGGTGTTGCCAGTTGGCGAACTGACTGCAATTTCTATTTTGTTGCCAGTTTCAAAAAACGAATCTTGTGTTATTTCCGTCAAAAGAGTAATTAAACGGACAAAGCAAACGGCAATTCAACACACACGCGAGGGCAGCACAATTAGTTGCCAAATAAATAGTGTAATAACTGACATTAGGCATCGCACCACCCACGCTCCGCTCGGCTTTTCTTATGGCCGGCGGACATTGCGGCGCTGTGGTCTGCAGAAGACAGCGTTGTCTGTGTTGAAGGCAGGCATGAGGAGCATGTCGACAGGAACGCAAAACATTGTAAATAAAATGAAAAGGGCTGCACAAGAGAGCAGACAGAGAGAGAGTGAGAGAGAGAGATACTGTGTGAGTGAGAGCAGCAGCTGCTGCTGCTGGGCTACTCTGGCCAGGATTCGGTTGAGCGTGTTGCCAGGGAATGCAATGTGTCTGCCATTCTGACCTGCGGGTGCTTTTGTGTTAATTGCGGTTGCATTTAATTACAGTTCGTTGCATTTGCCGCACGTTGTGGACTGTCTGGCTACCTGAGCAGTGGAGGCGGATACTTACATTCCAGCCGGTGCCCCGTGCCACGTGCCACACTCTAAGGTTTTTAATTAAAGTTACAAAGAATTCGACTGCCAGCTCCTGAGCCGCTCCCCAGCCCCAAAGCTTCGCTGAAATTGACCAGACTGGACCCCACCCACCGCCCACCTTGGTCACTCGCCCACTATTGGCCGGTGTGTGCGCAGGCGGCAATAATTAGCAAACCAAACAGCATACACAGAGCAGAGAGCAGAGGGCAGAGGGCAGTCGGCAGCCAGCAGGCACCCAGATGACATACAGAGGCCGCAACATGATTTGCATAGGCCACACGCAGAGGCAACGCTAGATTACGCATACGCCGCATTGTGCAAACATCGCTCGCAGCGACTCAATTATGTGTATTAGTGTATTGGTAAAAGTATTTTAGTGCTCCGAGTTAAGCCACTTTGCCCGACATCGACTGGATAATGTCCACAATGCTCACATAGGTGCCCACCACGCCGCCAAAGATGCCGAAGAGCAGCAGCAGCAGATTGGCAACGAGCCGCATGCCACACGGTCCATAGCCCGTCGCGTATTGCACGCAGATCTGGAGCAGAGCCGGAAAGATGAGCCCCAGCACGGACAGGCAGAAGGAGCCGACGAGCGAGAGGAAGAGCGACAGATCCGGAATGGCTACAGCGCAGCCAACTGAAAGAGCCAAGAACCAAGCCAAATGCATCAATAACCCAATCAAACTCTCCCAGCTCCCATCACCTGCTGCCGATTCACTTACAGGTGAGCAGCACGATGAGCGCCCGAAAGCACAGCTCATAGAGCGTGTGCTTCTTCACATTCGCTAGCCGCTTGCTCAGGTACTGATTCCACACTATGTGCGCCGTGACATAGCCCTGCAGTGCATACGATATGTATGTGGTGATGGCGAAGAAGATCTTGACCACCTGAGCGAGACTGAAAAGCAAACAGAGAGAGAGAGAAAGAGAGAGAGGGAGAGAGATAGATTATAGTACATATTTAGCCATACATACACTTTGGTCTGGGGTATATTGAGCGTGATGCTGCCCAGAGCATCGTTGCCGTATTTCCAGTAGCCGAAGAAGCCCAGAAATATGTAGAGACTCAGGACGACGGTCATGCCCCAGTTCATGATGCCGCAGGGCTGCACATAGGCGCGCGGCGTGGCCATGTTCTCCTCTATAGCCAGGATCTAACGAGGAAACAACTCTCTATTATATGCAACCTCAAACAATACATTTATCAACTGACCACGCCCACTGCCTCCAGAGCGAAGAGCACCGTGCCAAAGAACGTGGGCAACTTGGTGTAGCTCACAAAGGCCTCGCGTTCACTGAGCGGCGGCAGGTCCTCAAAGACATAATACAAGATGATGCCAAAGCCTGCAAAGAGCCATCAACGGGGGTTGACTAGAGAGTTGAAAAGGTTTCACGTACCCACAAAGAGCAGCAAGTTGGCAGCACTGGAGAAGGGCGCCAGCACCTTCAGGTTGCGTATGCTGAAAATCAGCATGAGCGGAATGATGAGGAAGCACATGTGCAGGCGCACGTCCAGGACGACGAGATACTCATCCACCAGCTGCTTGATGCTCTCGGCTATGAAGACCACATAGACACAGCAGATGCCAAAGTGGTAAAAGGCCAAGAAGCCATCCACAAAAGGGCTAAAGGAGAGATTGATGGATGGATTTAGAATATATATAATATAAATGAGTATTGCATGAAAAGGATATAGACAGATTATATGGAAAGAAAAGTGAATATAAAAATTGATTAATATAAACATGAAGAATACTAATATATACACATAGTTATATGAAAAATATGCAATACATATGAAAGGATAGATGATATAAGTAAGGCAAGTAGGCAAGATTCTTAAATGGTATAATGATAGTGATAATAAATAGATGGATAATTCATCTATCATACAAATATATAACTAAAAGTTAAACTCACGCAGAGATTGGCGCCAGGCATCGCAGTATGGGCGGACCCTCCTGCAGGCCGAGTCGCATGGACTCGGAGAAACTGATGTAGGGCACACGCTGGCGCTTGCAGAGTATATACATGCTGTTGATCTGGCAACGGGAGATAAGTTAGCTGGCACACGATAAACAAAAGGCGAGACTCACCAATATGTGCAGACAGTATAGAGCCAGCAGGCCGATGATCGCGGTCAGAACAAATCCGTTCACATAGCCCGCATGCGCAAAGGCGCTGGGCATGGCCAGGACTCCGGTACCTATGGAGGCCTTCAGGAAGTGCGCAAAAGTCTGCCAGTTGCTGAGGGAATTTAATATGAAATATTTATAATGCTGATGTTAAAGAGAGTGCTCTCTCTCTCCGTCTCTCTCCTTCTCTGTTTGTTTACTCACTTTGTTGGATTCTTAACTTTACGATGCATGTGCGGATCGTAGTCGTCAATGTTTGCCTTGGACGTTGGCATCGCAACCGAATCATTTTTGCTATCGTCTCTGGGAGAAGTTCAAATCAAATTAGTGATTTTTACAATGTCGATTTCTTATTGCCTCTTGGGCGATGGAATCATCGTCAGTGTTTATTAGTTGATTAATTCGGACCCAAGCACAAAAACAATTGTAAATTCTTTATTGGCCCAATTAATGTGTGTTAATTGTGTATAAAGCAGTTATCATTATTGTCTTTTAATAATGCAAAGACACGAAAATATAAAAAAAAAAAATACCTCTAATTCAGCTCAACAGATAATCTAACACAAAAATTAAATAAACACAACACAAACAAATTCGTGACATATTAAAATTAAGTTAAATTTTTTTTTGTAGATCAAATTTTATAATTTATGGTAGCAAAAACAAATAAACAACAAATTGCTATTGGCCATGTTGATTGTCGCTTTGTTAGCTCATCCGTTAGCTAAGAGCTCGGAAAGATAGATTGTCTAATTTACTCACTGCATTACTGTTTGTGGAAGCTACTCGGCTAAAACATAAATCGTTTATCACACACGGAAGGCTATTTAGATAAAGAGATACGCCTAGGATTTACGTCTATTCTCTTCTATTTTTGTGGAACGCACAACCAAACGATATGCCCAACGCGCAGCTACTAAACAGTGAATGCGCGTCGATCCAGCTCGAGAGCCCCGAAACAAGTGAAACACCTACTAAAGTGCAAAATCGTATCATTTCAAATTAATTTATCAAAACAAATAAAATTAAACGAAATCAAAAAATGCAATACCATATATCATTTCTATATAATAACTACATATGTATACAATGAGGTTTGCTACACCAATTCATACCTGCCTGACTCGTATATCCATAATTTGAAGATTAATCCCATATTGTTTCTAAGTTTCGGCTATATTATTTGCGATCGGAGCTTTAGACGAGCAGAGAATGTGCATTTAGTAAGGACACCAACCAAGAATGACAACTACTTTGCTTTATTTAGACCATTTAATAGCAATTTATATTTAAGTGGCTTCAGAGTTTTTACAAAAGTGTGGAACAGCGTGCTCCACAGCTTTATTAATCACTCAATCTATATAAATGTGTTGCTATATCATTTGCGATTAAAACAAGAAAACAACAGGGCAATGTACTTTTTAGAGCATGTATGAATTGCTTATACATTAGAAGAAGAGTCTTGACACCCAACCAAAAATTTAAATTCTGCACAAAGTCACTGCACACTGTAGTCGAGACATTAACCTTTTATACGTTTGCTGTTAGTCTAGACAGCAGCCTACTCTTCAACAAAAAGCTAACTGCTGATTCACTCAACCAAATGAACCGGCATTCCACTAAGTGCTTTAAAGCGATCTACTTGTCTGAGGAAAGCTTACTCTCTTCAATTGTCTCTCTTGCTTACTCTTCGTCTGCTTACTTCCACATATATTTCTACAGCTCACCTAATTTTTTTTGTTTTTATTCCTCGTTCAAAAGCTGTTCATAACAGACGTGGAGTTCGCTCGTCTCTCTTCAAGCAAAATAAAAAAGCTATCCGGCAGCGGCAAAGAAAATGCTGAAATATTTTAATATATAATTCGATAATAACACACCACAACTAATTAAATGTGTTTCAAGTGCAATTTTATTCAATTTTTCAATTTCAACCGGTTTTATAGCAAAGTTTTCCCACTTTTTAATGTGCAGTAAAAGCAAATAAGTTATCTTATATTTTATATATAAAAACTGTATTTACATATACATATATGTGTATGTGTTTGTAAATGTGCAGTTGTTTATTTGTTTTATTGCTATACATTAATAAACAAATAGACCAAAACAAAACGCAGTGCGAAACGAGAGGAACATAAATATCACCAACAGCAACAACAACGACAACAATAGATAAAAGCTAAACAACTATGGTCTACTCCATAAAGGTAAATTCCAAAACAGAGAATCATGTCCCCTTTCTCTGCACCTCCGCCCATGTCTAAAACTTGTTGCTAATATTTAGACCAAAAATGACGCTGACTGCTTAAAACTTGTTTCTTAGACTTTTACTCGCTGCCATCATCGATCGAGTGAAAGAAGATGCCTCAATTTGTGCAATGTGCCCGGCACCCTTAGTATGTATATAGCCTTCATAATTTTGTTGTTATGAAACAGCGGCGCGATATCGCCGAGCCCACTATACTATATACATACGTATATATTCTAGATAACTATCAATAAAGCCTAGTTAATGCCAGAGGCGTCTGCAATTATGTAAAATAGCTTTATAAGGCGGCTCTGTCACGGACGAATTAGTGTATATGTATGTCGGATAGAGCCCGGATTGTGGGACAACATTTTTCTACAACTGCTCACGTCGCCAGTGGAGATTTAGTTCTAGTACAGAATGCCTAGGTTTTAGCTTTACTTTTTATAGAGACAACATTTTCAGCTCTTTAAATATTTTCATATGTGCGCAATTTGAAAATCTGTTTCCAATATATGTACATATCTTTCATGCATACGAGCGAATAATTTTTTTGAAATTTTAGTTCTAGTATAAAAGCCAATGCAACCGACTTAAATTTAGTTTAAATATAGCAGCCAATGTAGGCAACAGTTATTTATTTGGTTCCTATAGGAAGATACAAGTTTCCGGTAGCATATATAAGCTTAAGCATATGTCTTACGAAATGACATTATCAAAATAGGCAATAGAGTTTTGTGGAACTTCCCCGCATTTCTAATATCCCTCAGTCACAAATAAAGCTGTTGTTTAATGTTACAGTCACTCTTTCTGTGCAAGCAGACCTTAGAACAATTCTATGCGACCTATAAATAAATATTACTAGCAATTATTTATTCAAACGAATGCGAGACATGTTAATTACCATTCGTTCGCTTTGCCTGGCTGGACACCATATCGAGCGCTTACTGTGACGTAGGCATTGCCCTGCTAATCGGAGTGATTGACTTTGAATGTTAGTTTCTTGCTATCGCCAGATAGTTTATCGTCAAATTATATCAATAACATTCATATCATATATTTCAGAGAGATCTCCTTGTAACTTGAATTTAAAATCAATAACTAATAATAAAACTACAGAACATGTTAGCTAATATGCTAGTCCGCTATTAGAGGCTGACGTAGGAGCAATTTAATTGCACACATTGAAATAATTATAATAATAGTGTATGCCATTAGGGCCTAGTCGTGATCTCCAGTATAGAATGCTGTTTCCATTTCCTATTTTCCACTTTTTTTACTGACCCTTTCAACTCGAACTAATGTCGCACGCGATCTCTCGGGCCCGTTTCTGGTAGCATGTGCGATTGATCCACAGTATAGATGCTCAAGTTGTCAATTAAGGGGCGTAGCTCAATCGAACAAGTAGACCTTAGAGATCTAAGCACTCTCCTCAACTGCTCCGGCATAGGCATTCTATTAAGTTGCGTACTTAATGATAAGCCTCAAACATTTCATAAGCTACCAGGCGCCGTATCTCAAGTCTCGCTGATAGCGATAAGTCACTATAAACATGATTATTATTATTATTATTATTATTCAGTTGTCGGGCTAGCCTGTGGAGCTCTGGACAACAATTTCAATGGTTAGTGTCTAGCTAAACATGATAGTGGTAAGATGTTTGCGACGAAAACTATTTCGTCTATATTGGAAATATTACGCGGAATACCTAGGTCTATTTGAAATGAATCATGCGCCACGATCGGTACCGTGGGGGTGCCGTTATCAGAAGAGCTAGTCTCGTCTATTTTTGGTACAATAACAAAGGAATAAAATAACAAAATACTTTTGATTTGCCAGCTACCCTATCGGTGCCATAAAGAGAAACGGCAAACAATTTCAGATACGAAGGGAATTTCATTATAAAGCCTTTTATGTAGTCACCTCTGAAGACCTGGGAACAAACTTGCACTGAATACAATTAATATTCTGTATTCTGTAACTCTTCAACTCTTCATTTTGATGTTTTCTCGTTTTTAGAACAGCGAAACGGGTGAATTCGAGTATTTTTACACCGACTCAGCGCGCATCAAGCAGCCGAAATATGATGAGGAGACAGGTGAGCCGGTTAACGATCAGATGAAGGTGCGCTATCGCAAGCACGGCAACTTTCATGTGCCCAAGCGCTATTTGCGCGGCACCATCTGCGACGAGGTGGACAACGTACTGGCCAACAAGCACCACGAGCACCCGGATATAACAGCAAAGCATGTGATCGGCAGCAAAGCCACAACGAGCACCTCCAAAGAAAAGAAAACGACGCCCGGCTACGAGCGGGAGGATTACATCAAAATGGATGGCGTGAGTAGCGTAAGTCGAGCATTGAATTTCACAAGATCCCAAGATCATTAACTAACAGCTGATTTTATCTGTAGAACATCATATTGGGCTATGAACGCAACAACTCCTTCCTGCTCTTCCTGATACCCACGCTCTTCTCCTGGAACATGATTCTGTGGGGTCTGCTCTCCATACTGGAGATCGGGCTGCACATGATGTCGCACTACAAGAACTCCCTGACCATGCAGAAGACTCTCTACTTTCGCAGTCCGCTTCACGTGCTCTCCTCACAGTTCTGTGCGATCTGTCGCAACGAGTCGGGCAGCAAATACAATCGCACCTTCGACATACTCAACGAACAGATGCGCGTGGCGCATCGCACCGCATTGAAGAACATGGCCAAGGCCATGGGCTGAGTTGCAAACGCACTTATAGCTTCAACAATTGTAAAACCATTTTACACTTTAATGGTAATAAAAACAAACGATTATTGCTTCACGTCTAACAACAATAAATGCACAAATATATCACCTGAGTACCTGAACAGTATTTCTAAATAGCCTTCTTTCTGGTCGCAATCGCGTTCTAAATGGATATCTGTGCCATCGGCTTCACGTTGGGCGAGACGCTGAACTTGGCGCCAGTGCAGGCCGCAATGTCGTCCACGGTGTAGCCCTCGCCGAATTCCAATAGGGTCAGGCCCACGCCTTTTTCCACTTGGAACACAGCCTTCTCCGATATGATCAAGTCGACGACGCCTTTGCCGGTCAACGGCAGCGAGCAGCTCTCGAGAATCTTAGGCGAGCCATCGCGAGCATTGTGCTCCATAGTGATGATGACCTTGGTGCCAGGTGCTGCCACCAGATCCATGGCGCCGCCCATGCCCTTTACAAGCTTGCCCTGCAAGAAATTAATTACATTAGTAAACTCAATAGATTAATTTTAATCCCTCTCTCTCTCTCTCTTACGGGTATCATCCAGTTGGCCAAGTCACCTGTTGCCGACACCTCCATGGCGCCCAGAATGGTCAAGTCTACGTGGCCACCACGAATCATGGCAAAGCTGTCGTCGGAGCCGAAGTAGGCAGCACCTGGCACTACGGTAACGCTCTCCTTGCCCGCATTAATCAAATCTGGATCGACCTGGTCCTTGGTGGGGAACGGGCCCAGTCCCAAGATGCCATTCTCCGACTGCAGCATCACGTTCATGCCCTGTGGTATGTAGTTGGAGGAGAGCACGGGAATGCCAATGCCCAGATTGGCGTACATGCCATCGCGAAACTCTAGAGCCACTCGCCGAGCAATGCGTTCACGCAAGGCTTGTGCCGGGCTGACCTCTGCCGCGGGCTGGCCTTGTCCTTTCGGCTCTGTGATGCGCAGGCGCTCGACGCGCTTG